CGCGCTTTGGGAGAAAAAACATGTGCCCCCGAGCATGCGGGCCGTGTGTGGGTCGCGGCGCCTCTGTGCTGCGCTCACGTTGGGGAAAGGTGCGCGTCCCCAAGCATGCAGAACCGGTTAGGGTTGCTGTGGGTGCAGCGCTCAGGCTGTGGGTTCATATCCGTGCTGCCACTCCGCGTAACGCTCGGGGAGCGGGTGTGCGTTTACGTGATGCGTAATGTCTCAATGCCTCCACCGTAGTCGTGTGACGTGGAGACGAGCTCCGCACACTCATGGGGAGGCTTTTACGAAAAGGCTCTGAAAATGCTTCCGTGCCGTGCTCAGGCTGCGGGCTCGCATCTACGTTGATGTGAGCCGACGTGCGCTTAAGAGGCGTGTGTGCGCCCTTGTCGACGCGGCGTCTTAGGCGAGGACTGCTACGAGGGCGCGCGTTTGACGCTGGTGTGGTCAGAGGAAGCAGCACGCAGCGCCGGTTGAGAGTGAGGTTTACTCGGTCTGTAGAACACGTTCATTCTTAGCTGCGAATCACGTGAGCTTTTGAGTGCTTCATTGAGCTGCAGTGTTATTTTAGAAAACATTCTTCGAAGGACACCAGCTCGTTATATGTGGAGGATGAATGAGAGGAGCCTCTCTGACATCATTGGACTGACAGACCGGCTGAAAAAACAGACACATTAATCTTTGAACAATGTTGGCGTTTCATTTCAAAGCTCGTGTCGTGAACACATTCATTCTGGCTGCCGTGTGTCGTTTCATAAATCTCTTCCCCCGTGAGCCCTGCGGTTTGTTATCCTAGGGCAACACCTGTTGGTGGTCTCTGGGAAATGCTGAAACCGCTGGTTGCCGGGATGAGAAGTGTTGTTCTCTGACGGGAGGGGCTGGCAGCGGAAAAGACGCAGCTGTGGCGCGGGGGTGCGGGAGGAGGCGTGTGCACATTCTCCGACACCTCATCAGACTTTTCCAGCATGGCCTTGAAATTGGTCCCGAACAGCGCGTCGTCGTGATGGGACCCTCCGACAAAAAAAGCCTTCTGCAGCTCCTCCGACAGGGAGGGGAAGTGACAAGTCGGGTGGACTTCTGCACCATTGTCATCTAGGCTGCAATGCGAGACAAGGCAGACAGCAGATGAGGCGCACAGGTTGAGGATGACGTTAGACGGCTGCAGAGGGAGCTCCTTGTCTCCTGAGGCAGGTCTGTCCCTCCGGCCTCTGAGAAGTTGTATGTCAGCGGCACTGCGGCCGCCTGGGATGCATGCCGGTGAGCTCAGTTGGAGAGCGACGTCACCGTCTGGTTATGCCTCCACAGAGGCGTAGGAAGCTGGTCCAACCTGGACATCTTTGCTCCGAAAAGGCCTCCATCAAGGCTCAGCTCCAGGGGGCACTGAGGGAATTTCCGCTCGGTGAAACCCTTCCACTCTGGTGATGGACACGGATGTGGGAACCGGCGCCCTATTCTACCAGGACCGGCTGCAGCCTCGACCCAGTAGGACGTCACCGCTGGGAAAACGAGGCCAGATGGGATCAGGACGGCGAGCCCGAGTGGAGTCCAGAAACCCTCCCGCTAGATCATCCGATCTGGGCAGGGAAGGAGAGGGGACAGCAAAAGTCCCTTCATGTCAGCCTCCTCCTGAATTATGCCAGGCAGCTCCAAAGGAGGGCACCGGCGGCTGGGAGCGGTGTGGTCGCCGATGCGAAACAAGGTGGTGGGGGGGGGAGCATTCGCTCAGCCCCCCTCTACCGACACTATGCTCTCCAGGAGGGAATGAGCAGTGGGGGGCTGCTGCTGACGTCGCCTGTCCCGGAGGAACAATCTGATTCACTCCGAGGGTCGGCGATAAGAGGAAAATTACAAGATGGCGTCGTCCAGCGTGTAGCGACCTGCCACTGAGAAATATTCCTCAGCGTTTACCTTGAAACAAGACTGCTCGTCTGCTTCTCCTCGGGGAGGAGAGCTCACCGGGACGACTGGAGGTTGACGTGGTGGGCCACAGGCAGTCTTAACAAAGGTTGGTCAGCTAGACAACTTTCCTTCTTCGTTCTTCTGACAGTGCTATTAGCTCGCTGAAGAAAAATGGGATCCGATTACTCGCTCTTAACGTAATTTATACGGACCGGGTGGGGCCCACACAGCAGGTGGGCGTGGACTAAATTTTTCAGTGTAATGCTTTGCATGACTGGATAAACCCACTAAGCGACAGCCTTAAAGGGCGAAGCCTATACGAAATAGAACTACTTACTACTTGTACTGCTATTCCTACTTTGCAGTTTTTCACTTATTGCAGGGCTTCCGGGTATGGATCCCCAGCGATAAACGAGGGACTACTATATTACATTATTAGTCAGTGGAAGATAAAAATCAACTAAATCTTTGTTCTGAGTATAATTTTTGACAACCTACCAACAATAAAATTCAAATAAACACCTGCTCTGAGAATTTTAAACTAATTCCTCATTTCAGATCTGGGATATTTCTAATGCCCCTTTTCCATTAGTACCGGTACGGGCCGACTGTACCCTACTTGGCCCAGTTCTGAGGCTTTTCCATTAGTACCGGTACTTAGCACCTGTTACTATTTTCAGTACCCTTGGCTCTGTCGTTCTAACCGGAACGAAGAGGTACTAAAACGTGACGTGAGAACACTGTCAGTCACTGATTGGTCGGGGGCGGAGTCGGGGGCAGAGTCACTTGATCCTTCAGAAACGTTTCAAACCAATAATCCGCCATTTGCAATTTCTCGGACTGGAGCAGTGGCTGGACTTATTTTAAAGATTTTAAAAACAATACTGACAACATCTTGGTCTAATGCTGATGTGCTGGCATTTTTTGTGCTTGGTGGCCGACAACATAATTCAGAGCAAGCTGGATGGAGCTCTGCTGGTCTACCCCGATCCTCCCTCCGGTGCCTCGGAGCGCCAGGCCGGGCAGGGCGTCATCTCCCCGGCTCCAAGTTCAGCTGGTCACCGCGGAAGATCCTTCGATGTGCCGACTCGGAGGCTCGGGTTTCGGATACCAGCCTTGTGTGCTCAGAGCTCCGCTGGTCACTGTGAAGCTGGAGATGGGGACTCGCAGATGGACGTTGCCAGACCCCGGCCGCGCGTAATCATGAAGGCTAAATCCCAATCCCACCCGGCAGTCAGGCGGACTGGACAGTCTGGGACGGACGCTGGAAGCGATTTTTAAATAAAATAATATTTTGTTTTTATACAAAAAATGTTTTAAAAAATTGCTGAAGCGATTTAAAAATGATTTTTTTTTTTTTTACACGTAAAAATTTTTTTTAAATTGCTTCCACCGTTCGTCGCAGACTCGTCTCTGTCCGCCTCCCTGCACAGGTCGAGCCTTCATGATTACGCGCGGCTGGGGTCTTGGAACGGCCTCTGCGAATCACCAGCTGAGCTCGGAGCTGGGAAGATGAGCCTGCCCGTCCTGGCTCCGGAGGAGAGGATCAGTGAGACCAGCAGAGCGTTGAAGATTAAAAAAAAAAAAAAAAGATAAACGGTGCCAGCTTCATCATGAAATCCTGTTTTCACTTTAATGACTGTTAACTCAGCTGAAAATCATGAAAAGACACAAAACTATTGGATCTCAGGAATATTTCCCTCAAACATGTTTAAAGAAGAGAGACGACCTTCAGTTCAACTTTATTTTAACACACAAATGTACAAATCACAAAACAAGAACTTTAAAGCAAAGCTAAAAATAAAATGTATATATGTGAACAAGAAAGAAAACCACACATCTAAAATGAACATTAAAAGTAGACAATGAGTGCAAATACATCAAATGATGATGAAAACCTATAAAAATTTAAATCTAATGTTTTTGTAGAATCTGGTTCATCGGAGTTTTAATTTATATACATATATATATATATATATATATATACATA